AGATGCCAAACTGAAAACTGTTGTCATCGAGAAGTTCGTTAATAAAGATTAAGAACAGCGTAGGACCAAGGATGGAGCCCTGAGGGACATCCGCGTTAGTACGAAGGGATCTAGACGAGTGGCCGGTCAGGATAACTTTCAGTTCCCGATTTGATAGGAACGACTGGATGTGCTCAAAAATGCCTCCGAAGATATCGTAATTTTTTAGAAATGACCTGAATGCCAGACCCTGTCGAAGGGTTTCGAAATGTCCACTGCTACAGTCTGGGCTTCACCGTTTTTATCTAGAGCATAACAGATTCTTTTCGTTCGTCCTCGGTAAGACGTTAAAATACATCCGGGTCCTGTGTAAGACGTTAAACTACGACCAGCAGCAAGGCCTCTGATCAGAAGGTTTTGAGGAGCATGGAACCACCTCTTAATTGCTGGTGTTCCCAGGTCCACCCTGACCCGGGGTGGTAGCACCTGTTAGGGTCCCAGCTATAGGAAAATAGTTAACTATTACCAGCAATACTTTTTTGAAAAAAATTATTACCAGCAATACAATTTTGTAGGAAATATATTACCAGAAACAGATTTTTGACAAAACAAAATATTACCAGCAATAAAAAAAAATTTATCGGTATTAAATAACCCATTAGGTTGATATGCCGTAAAACAAAATAAACCAAACCATTCTTTCCGCAATTATCGTTAGTACATCAAAAGTTGACCTATAGAAACGAAAACCGTATTGATTATCTGAAGAAAGGCCCTGCGATGAGAGATGATAACCAATTCAGCATTGATTAGGGCCTCTCGGAGTTTCCCAAAGAGAAGCAGAAGGCTAACAGGCCGATAATTGGATGAGTAGGACGGTTCACCAGAGTTCTTAAGAAGTGGAACAACAGACAATGACTTCAGGCAGGGAGGAAAGCAAGGGGCGTTTATTATACAGTTTAGAGACCACAGAGACTATTACACACAGAGACTATTATTACAGTTTAGAGACTATTACGAGGATGCCTATCGGACCCAAATGCTTTGAGGGGAACAAGTTTAGAGATGATAGCAGAAACCACGAATATTACTCAACAGTGAATCAGTTCAAAGTGGGAAGTTTAAATTTGATTTCTTTTACTGTAATGAAAAGATTAAATGTTTTGTTTTTCCCCATAATATTTAAATTGGATAATTTTCTGGTGAAACAAAAAAATTAATTGAATTAAATATTTAAGAATATGAAAATCCATATCTCTGGATGCTAGAAATAACGCGTGGAAATTCGTTCTGTGCCATTTACTCACCATTAGAAATGTAAGAAATACATTTAAAAAAAAAATGTATTTTATATGCAACAAATATTCTGAAACTTTTACGACAAAACTTCATTTTAATAAATTCACTAAATGTTGATATTAATATTGGAAATAATTTTTTTTACAGAAAAAACAATGAGATGGCAGTGTCAGGGGAGATAAATACATTTTAATCTCACTAAGGGAGATAATTCAGTCTTACATAATATGAAAAATGTAAAAATAGGCATAGTTACCTTACTTGGCGACACTTCTAAGATTGATATAAATATTCTTGTTCTGTCGAATGCTGTTTATATTATTGTGCATTCAACAAACACATTAATGCTGAGTTATCATTCAAGACAAAAAAACATGTTAACAAAAACAGTACAAATATGGAAATGTCACGAAATGGAAAATAAATATCTAACAAATATGGCTACAATGTTAGCTTTTATACGCATGATGGAGAAAAGCTTGCAACTCGACTTAAGCTATCACGATTTAATGAAACTGCTGATACTAAGTAAAAAAAGCTTTTACAACAGAAAAGAAACAATTTTAGTAGATACGATTCTCAAAATATTAACTATTGATCAAGTTCAAATATCTACAGTGGACCACTCATCTGAAGAAGGAGAGAATTAGTTCAACGTTTCGAGCAGGGAAGTGCATATGTGTTTGTACATACATATACCTGTGTGTGTATATACATACGTTTGCGTGTGTGTGTGTGTGTGCATACACACACACACACACACACACACACACACACACACACATATATATATATATATATAAATATATATATATGTATTCTGTGTATTTACACGGCAAATGTTCTTTAAGGCAAATATTATTAAAGACAGCAGATATTTTGTGCCAATTAATTTTAATGATCGACTTTTCCAAGTTACGAATAATCCTTCTCAGACAAGGAGGAAATTCCGTGGGAAATTGCTGAGGTTCATTTCGAAAGAAAAGGGGAAAAATATGGTTCAAGCTTTCGACTTTCATTTACACTGATGATGACGTAAAAAGTCGAAAGCTTAGAATTGCTGCAGAATTGAGTAAGGGATATGCAACAAAGTATTAAATAGGTATTACAATTTTGTACGAATACTTTTTTCGTCTCCAAATTTTTAATTTCATATAATTTCATTAATATAACAAATTTTCTGAATCTTTTTTGCATATTGCAGCATTATTCCATAGTATGC